AGCCTCGCATCATATTCCAAACGGCATAAAGTAGCACTTGCGCCGTCCTTCGACAACTTTTCATGAAGTATGGAGTAAACTATCCTTGAGTTCTTTCTGAAAAGATAGTAAACAGATTTTTCGTATATTCTCCCGAGCTTGTTTTTCAATGGATGTTCAATTATCAATGTAGGAACTGAGTTTGTGGACTTAAAATCTTGCTCAAGTTCAGGCGGCTCGGCGCGAGCTCTGACAGCATTATCATACTGCTTAACAAAATCATGTAACTCAGTATTTACATTCACAAAATGATCAAAAAAAGCTTAATTTCCTCACTCCGCTGAGTAGATGTCATTCCTGCAGTAAAAGTGTCTTTAAGATACACTGGAGCCCAATGATCTCGATGATTGTATAAATTTACTAACCAACTCCTTTTATCTGCACCATATTTGTCCTCATTTCTTCCAACGCTTTTCAAATTTTCTTCCGATTTACTCCAATACCATTTGTTATACTTTACAACCAACATCCTCACCATAATCATTATGCATTGATTGAAGATTTTGTAAGGCATTCCTACGAATGTGCCAAGAACAAAAGCGATGGCGAGTTTTAGGAAAAACTTTGTGAATAGCACACACACATAGCTTTATCTTGATCAGTGATGATTGTTACTGGTGCTATACGACTCATTATTATTTATAACCATATAAATCGTCTCCTCCGTTTCATCGGACAGTAACGCACACCCAAATAGAGTAGACTGTCGATGATGGTTAACGCCGCGTAAATGGTGCAAACGGCAATTTAAATTGTCGTTCTATATGTAACATCAAAGCAAACAACATCTCCAAATTGCAAGTAAGAAGTCCTCGACCTACCATCCATCCAAAAAACACTTCTCAATCGTCCCATCATTTTCTAAATCAAGTGCGAAGTAAAATTGAGGATCAGATACCTTTTTTCTCTTGAAATTGACGAAATATGTTCACGCACTCATGGCGACGTGTTTTCTTCGTTTAAAGTCTAAGTTGTGCTTGGCATTCTTGTTGAGTGAGAGAGCCTTGTCATTGCCATGACAACGTCTACAACTTAACAAATGGCAGAAGGCGTAAACCTTGATTGTCAAGAGTATCTATCAACCTTTTTGTCGATGAGCTCGATGAAGTGTCATGTGAGTAGTGCTTCTTTACCCGAGTTGGCGGTGGTTAATGGATAACATTATGCTTACTGTTTAACTTCGGACCACCTATTTTTCAGTGCTTCTATTCAATATAACCATCCTTGCGTTGCATGCCACATCTTTGTATCGAACTTTCGAATTACATTTCCGACCATCTTCTCTTTTATCTTTTTAAGATTTAAGCCTCTTCGTCACATACAAATATTCTAGATAGGATTGCATATTTCTTTCTCGACCAAGCTGTGTGACCCTTGCGAACACTAAATCCCTTAAGTCTGGCGTATGCTATTAGAAATATAAGCTTCCTCATGAAGTAGAGAACTCCATTCGATATATGGATCAACGCTGTTTAAATTATATTCACCATTTTCAACGCCATAAGCCTCATCACCATTCTCCTCATGCTCGGATGCCTATAAAAATAGAGAAACCAAATCTATGCTATAAAAAACTATTTTGTATAGTCATTAGTTAGTATTACACTATAAACAATAAGATATTATCACTGAGGGGGAACCATGTTGTAGATAGTAGATCATGGTCCTGGCTTTTATCTTCTTCCATTGTTGCCTCACGTGAGAGAATTGGTGAGAGGTCTATACAAGCTATCAAATTATCACATATAAGAAGTTCAAAATCGCTCAAAAAACATTCATCAAGTTGATCTTTCAATTTCACTAAACAATATTCTAAACGATAGTTTAACCAAATTTAAAGTTTATATCCAATTTAACAATACATGCAAAAATAGCTCTAAATTATCCGGCTCGTAGCCATAGAGTGAGTGCTGCGAACCAAGTAATGTATGAGCTGAAATTAAAAGGAAGAGATAGATCCAAGATCCAAGGAATATGCATGAGGAAGATAGAACCGTCATGAAATCCACTAGATCTAACAGGAACGCCAACTAGAACTAAACATGCCTCGTAATAGAACTAACATCATCTCCATTAGAGCTCAACATGCATCCCGGTAGCATTAACATGCATTTCAGTTAAAACTAACACGTTAATTAGAGCTAGCTAACATGCATATTCAGTTAGAACTAACACGTTAATTTAGACCTGATGCCTTACCTCGGGGAGCGAGCTCGACAGCGGCGAAGTGCGATGAGCCGCGCAACACTGAGCGGGGACGGCAAGCAGGCGCGGGCATTTCGTGAGTGGAGAGAGGGGGGAGGTGATGGCGAGGATGACGTCGAGGGCTTGATCGATCTCCGGAGGCGGCGATGAACCTGAGGGCTGAGCTCGAATGCCGTCGAGGCGTGGTGGATGACGAGGGCTTGTGAGCTGATGGCAGGACGAGTAGACGGCGATGACCGGCGCGACGCTCAGTGCGGTGATCTCGGGCGCTGGAGAGGAGGAGGGAGGTGATGGCTAGGGCAAGGGACGGTGGCGACGCTGATCGGGGACGTCGAGACACAGGCGAGCTTGCGCCGGTGTCTTCGGGCGTGGTGAGGGGAGGAGGTGGTGATGGCGACCGAATGCGCGATCTTGAGCGATGGCGACGCTGATCGGGGCGGCGAAACATCCGGCGGCGATTTCGGGCGCTGGAGAGGAGGAGGCGGGAGGTGGATGGCGCGATGCTGAGCGGAGAGATGAGAGAGGGTAGGATTTTGGGGGGATGGGATTTTCAACGAAGGGCTCAATCTCTCTGAGGGGTTGAATAAACGGCCCAGATCGCGCATCCTCAGATGACAGCCTACGGAGTCACCGCAGATTCACGGACCCTATATACTATACTATATATATATATATATATATATATATATATATATATATATATATAGAAAAACTCTTGTCAACTTAAGTGGACAAGAGGTGTTGTCCACCAACGTTTTTAACCATTGGATTAGATTTTAATATCAGGATTTTGATTAGATGATGTGGCACGAATTAATTGCTAAGAGGGGGTATTTTCATCTAAAAAATTAGGAAATCTCTCTTATAATTGGAAATCAGCACCGTCCCCCTTAATTGATTTTGCAGCCTAAAAAAAAAGGAAATCATCACCGCCTCTGCTTCAGACCTCCTCCCGCCCAGGCTACGAAATCATCACTGCGCTCTTTCAATATCCCCCAACAATCCCTCTCGCCGTCCACGCGCTTCAGACCTCCGCCCGCCCAGGTTAGGAAATTAGCCCTTCGCCCGTCCACGCGCTTCAATAACCTTGACGAAGCTGACTGGTGATGATTTAAGTTGCCAGCTCTTAATTTTGGTGTTTAATATTATATAAGATTTGCGTCAATCAAAGCTTGAGCATGCTGGCAGCTTCACTCATGGCGGAAAAAAACTTAAGCTGACTGGTGATGATTGAGATGTTATTTTTCAATGATTTCCGACGGCCAACTAAGAAGACTTGTCAGATTATTTTAGGACTTACACTATTTATTTAGCCTCATTAGCATTATTTTTGTAATGAACAGTTACCAGTTTCTATTTTAATTTCGCTAGGCTCTTGGATCTTTTTGATTTATTCATAAATATATCTTATTAACCAGTCTTCTTAGTTTGTTAGTAAATATGAAATATAGATTTCCCCTTCCACTTGTTATTTTTATTTTATCATCTGTGAGCTCAATTTACCCTATATTAAATTTTTCTCCATCTATGAAGCAATCTAATAATCTTTCTATTATGGTTACAGGTTGTCTCATGGCAAGATTAGGGGAATATGTAGACAGAGATCTTTTTTGTGCAAATGAAGAAATAGAAAAGACGACGCAACATAGTCAGCCACATGAAGATGAACTTTTAGAAGACAACTTGAGTCACATACCATGTATTGATGAACCGAAGATAGGTATGATGTTCAAAAGTTTGGAGGAAGCAATGAAATATTATAGTGCTTATGCATTATTCATTGGGTTTGGGATTAGAAAAGGATCTAATTATTTGTCTAAGAGAAAAAATGTCATCACAATGCAAGTATTTACTTGCTCTCATGAGGGTTTTTCTAAAAGCAAAAGGAATGAGCCATTACTTAGGGATAACACGTTCGAGAAAAGTCATTCGAAGGAGATATCTAGCATTCGAACTGGTTGCAAAGCAAGTATGCGTGTGAAATTAGATGATGAAGAAAATTGGATCATATCATCCTTTGAGAAGAAGCACAACCATGAATTAGTACCGAGCCCCTCAAAATCTCGTTTATCCTTTGAGAAGAAGCACAACCATGAATTAGTACCGAGCCCCTCAAAATCTCGTTTCTATCGGTGTCGGCGAAAGATTGGAGATGAAGAAGTCGACCTTATACAAACCATGCGTGAGCAAAATATTTCAACAAAGCATATTAGGGACTTTATTGCATTTCAACGTGGAGGGGTTCGTAATTTATCATTCACAAGGAGGGACCTAAGCAACTTTGCAACACGCCAAAGAATGTCTCTTTTTGATAGTGATATCTCAATGACTCTAAGTCACTTTCAACAACTACAAGCTGAGAATCCCATGTTCTTTTATGCAATCCAGATTGATAGTAATAATTGTGCAAAAAATATGTTTTGGGTTGACGGGAGATCAAGGATGGCCTACCAGCATTTTGGAGATGTGGTCACTTTTGATACCACATATTGCACAAACAAGTACAGTATGCCATTTGCACCATTCATCGGGGTAAACCACCATTCTCAAACTATATTATTTGGTTGTGCTTTGATTAGAGACGAGACCGCGGAATCCTTCATGTGGGTCTTTCGAACATGGCTTAATGCAATGTTTGGTAAGCATCCTACTTGTATTCTGACAGATCAAGATCCTTCAATGAGGAAAGCAATAAGTGAGGTCCTTCCTAATACGGCTCATCGGCTTTGTAAGTGGCTTAGAAGATCGATATGACGTAGAAGAGGAAGAGGATTTTCGCTCTCTGCAATACAAGCCAAGTTCATGGTCTCCAAGCCCAATAGAGAGGCATGCACAAAAAATTTATACTAGAGCAATGTTTAGGGTATTCAAGGATCAACTAAAAGAGATATTTTCATATTCTCTGAATGAAATGGAGCCTAAAGCATTATACAAACTAGTGCAAGTCCCAAACTCAGACAAACCAATTGCTAGAAGAAGAACTTATATTGTTACCTTCCAAGCCCCTACGACAGTATCTTGCAATTGTAAAATGTTCGAATTTAGTGGAATGGTGTGCTCGCATGTGCTTAAGGTCCTTTTGCATCTTGATATCTTGGAAATACCCTCTGAATATATTTTAAAGAGATGGACAAAGTCAGCTAAGGAAGAAAGTTTTGATACGCACACATGTCTTAGCACTGAATTGTCAAATTCCTCCTCAAAGACTCTAATGTTTAATAGTTTGTCTCGAAAAATAATGAAATTGGTCGTAGAAGGTTCCACATCTATTGAGTTGTATAATTTGGCAAATAAAAAAATAGATCAAGTTATGGGAGAATTAGTAGCGACAAAAAAGCACTTATTAGAGAATAAATCGGGGCATGACGACATGACACAAATCCAAGGTTCTGCATGTTCTCAAACACAAGAAAATATTATTGATAATAATTGTATCGTGAGAGCTCCTCCTATTTCAAATTGCAAAGGAAAAAGAAAGATGCAACGTTTCAAGCCTCCTTCAGAGTTGAAAGCTAAGAAGCAAAGGACTTGTGGGAAATGTCAGGGGAAAGGCCACAATAGTCGAACTTGCACGGTAAAATTACTTTTTTTATTATCAAATGTAAAACAATGTTCCTATGCAAAGTACGATTTTTCTAATTTTTTTGAGATTTGTGCAGGCCCAAACAACAAGTCATGTAGGAAGCATCAATGAGGAAGAAGAGGAAGATCCGGAAGACCAAGAAGAAGAGGATGAAGATGTTGAAGAATATTACTACTAATAACCTATTCTAATCTTTTTTTTTTTTTTGTTAATGTTCTTTCGAAGCTCTCTAGATATGTGAAGTTATTTTATGGCCTTAAAAGATTTTTATGTTTGTATTTTATTTTCATAGCATTTATGTGGAAGACACTTGTTTTAATATGATTAATATCATTGTCGAGGGTTATGATTTTAGTATTGCTTCATTTCTCTCCATTTTCCAAATTCTTAGTGTGTATTAGTTGATATTATGTCCATCGCAATACTCTCCATATGATGTACTTGTCCGCAACTCTTTTATGGAAAAATTGCCTAAGGAAATCTGCCCCCCCCCCTCCGCCACCACCCCCGCCCACCGGATTTTTGAATACAGAGACAATAATGCATGGACGGCTTCAATTTGCACTGTCTTTGTAATGAGGTGGATCAGTGAACTCTTGCTTGCTGTTTGTTTTTGCCTGTAGCCTGGACTATTATTGTCTTCAAGTTTCATCAAATTTTGGAACCATGCAGTGAACAGTGAAATTGCTTTTCCTACTAGTGCCATATTTTTTTTTTATAATGCAACTATGTTTACGTTGAAGTAAGCAGAGAAGAATTGATCATACATATACAACAGGTGAAGCCTTTAGTAATATCTCAGTTTGAAACTAGTTTCTCCCTGATAACTGTCCTATGTGAGCTACAGTTGCCGTCATATAACAAAATTCAGCTTCATTGTCCAGTAACGCTCGCGATTGGGATGCGTGCATTTCAAATTCTTAGTTGTGTATTAGTTGATACTATGTCCATCTGCATATACTCTCCATATGATGTACTTGTCCCAAATTCTTAGTTGTGTATTAGTTGATACTATGTCCATCTGCATATACTCTCCATATGATGTACTTGTCCCAAACTTTTTATGGAAAAATTGCCTAGAAATCTGTGTACTTGTCCCAAACTTTTTATGGAAAAATTGCCTAGAAATCTGCATCTCCTTTATGTTTATTCTGATTAAGTCATTTTCTTCTATCTTACTTCTGTTCATACTTCAGAGCACTTGTTAAATAATATTGCGAGCCTTGATATAATTTCTCTTGATGTTTAGCAATGCATCCATATTCTCTTATTATATTACACAATGTACAATATGTGCTTGCTGACTGTAGATGAGGACTATGTATTTATTCGCTTTGTGAAAATCAAAGTTGAAATGCGTTTACACGTGTTCTCAAAATCAATGCTTTGATTGCAGGTCGAAGTCCATCCTTATATCATCAGGTGCCCTTCTACAAACTCTGTGTCTGAAGTAGTTCCTGGAGGGAGCACTGATACTGTGATACAAGTGCTCCCTAACTAAAAATCAACAAAATAGTTAATCTGTCCAATAAATGCGAAGAATGTCTGCATTTTTTTAATTAAAAATTGCGATTGTTTCTTTCACACCAGATAACCCAAATCTGCGAAGAATGTCTGCATTTTTTTAATTAAAAATTGCGATTGTTTCTTTCACACCAGATAACCCAAATCAAAGCACTACTATACATGTCCCACTTCTACCATCAAACATGAGGCACACAAAATAATCTCCATGAAGATCATAACTCATGTACTCTCATAAAATCATCAGTTACATCAAATTTATGTTTAATGGATCCCCTTAAAGAAGCCACATAAGGCCATTGTAAAAAAACAAAAATAAATAAATAAAAGATAATGAGTCTCAACCTCGACACCACACAATACACATATATTCTCAATCACAATCCCTTTTCTAATCAGTATGTCCTTTGTATTCAATTTGTCCCTAATAGACAACCATAACAAGATTTTAATCTTCAAAGGAACAGCGGATCTCTGGCCAGCGACGGTGTTCTGAAGCGAGTGGACGGATGGCGGAGTTCTGAGCGCGAGCAGGAATCGGATGTTTGGCCCGCGTGCGGGAATCGGATGTTTGGCCAGTGGGCGGTGGATCTCTGGCCAGCGGCGGCGCTCTGAAGCGAGTAGACGGGCTTAAGTTTTTTTCCGCTTAAGTTTTTTTCCGCCATGAGTGAAGCTGCCAACATGCTCAAGCTTTGATTGACGCAAATCTTATATAATATTAAACACCAAAATTAAGAGCTGACAACTTAAATCATCACCAGTCAGCTTCGTCAAGGTTATTGAAGCGCGTGGACGGGCGAAGGGCTGATTTCCTAACCTGGGCGGGCGGAGGTCTGAAGCGCGTGGACGGCGAGAGGGATTGTTGGGGGATATTGAAAGAGCGCAGTGATGATTTCGTAGCCTGGGCGGGCGGAGGTCTGAAGCAGAGGCGGTGATGATTTCCTTTTTTTTAGGCTGCAAAATCAATTAAGGGGGCGGTGCTGATTTCCAATTATAAGAGAGATTTCCTAATTTTTTTAGACGAAAATACCCCTCTTAGCAATTAATTCGTGCCACGTCATTTAATCAAAATTCTGATATTAAAATCTAATCCAACGGTTAAAAACATTGGTGGACAACACCTCTTGTCCACTTAAGTTGACGAGTTTTTCTCTCTCTCTCTCTCTCTCTCACTATATATATATATATATATATATATATATATTTTGCTTATATGTGTGTATATATGTACATAATATTATATACGTACCATATGTATATATATATCATACATATGTATATATATAAATATGTATAACATAATATGTACTATTATATATACATACATATTGTATATATATATATATATATACATATTTATATTATATATATATATATATATCACTAACGTACGTACATACATACATACATATATGTACACATGTAACGTATATCGTGTGTGGATACACACACACACACATGATACATATCATATATTATTATGTATATCATGTTATATATATTATATAAGTGTTATACTATATATATATATATATATATATAGTACTAATATATATATATTAATATGAGCAAAACTCTGTCAACTTAACGTGGATGTCCAACTGAGTTTCTCTATCCATTGATGATACTTGATTGAGCTACATTGTGGATGATCCGCTCCGTTAAACTTGATCTACATATCTAAAACCCAACACACCAAATTTGGTGTGAACTCGTTGGGTTTGACCCTTCATCGCACTCGTATCAATTTTAAGCGGTTTCGATGAATAGAATTTTTACATGACTCGACGGAGGGTCAAACCCACAACGAGTTCACACCAAAATTTGGTGTGTTGGGGTTTTAGAATATGTAGATCAAGTTTAACGGAGCGGATCATCCACAATGTACTCAATCAAAGTAATCATCAATGGATAAGAAACTCAGTGGACGTCCACTTAAGTTGACAGAAGTTTGCTCATATAGAAGATCTAATTATATTATGCATAACATCATACACTAATTTTAAATCGAAACATGTTAAAAGTCGATAAAACGGAAGTAGTCAAAATGATGTCATTAAATATCCAATAGTAGAGGATTAGCACACTAGTGAATGATGAATTAGCAACAGATTTTTCGCAACGTTCGAGGTAGACGGCCTAATATTAAAAACGCAAAAATGTACACAATAGTTGGTGGAGCGACACCACATATTAGAGATAATTTACAAATTTACGCAACTCACATGTCAATCAAAAATTCTTTTTATAATGATGGTATTTTATTGATAATAGTATGGATATATGACATATGATAGTTAATTGCGAAAAGAAAGAATATTGCCATTACCATTGCTATTCTCAAATGAAGATTGATTATTGTATGATTAGTGGAATCAAAATACACTTATCATTTATATTCATCCGATAAAAATACAGATAACCATTATAGAATATAGACAAATAATGAACTAATATAAAATAGAAAATAGACCGTCTTTTAAATGGGTTCTTATAAAAAAAATCAAAACAGAATACAATATAAAAAAAAATCTAACCGTAGTTTCTATACAATTAAGAAACAAATTAATTTTGACATGATTGAATTTTATTCAAGAGGTGAATAACTACTCATGAGAATTGAAACATTGATTGATGACTATTTTGCATTAAGTTATGTATGCTAGGTTCTGTGTGTAGTATGTAGTATTTATACACAATCCTTACTTACAACGACACATATAATGCACGCGCGACACACAAACACACCACATACTCACATCATATATAATATATTATATATAATACATAATAATACATCATACATATGTACATATGATACTATGTGTATATGTATAGTTATATATATCATATGATGTTGTACGTATAACATATACCTGTAACGTATTAACTACATGTATAGTATATACATACATGATTATACATACTACTAATACATATACATATAATACATGTACTAATTATATTACTGTATTATATACATATATATATTTAGTATACTATAATACAATATATAATATATACATAATTATTGTATATTAATACCCATAGTAGTATATTATTACTTAATATATACATTAATACTATATATATCTGAGTACATATGTATATGTATATATTAAATAACTGTGTATTATAACATATGTGTGTATATAGTATATCTATAAATTATAATACCATATTGTATTTAAATATGTGTGTGTGTGTATACATAATATATAATATAAACTACATGACAGGATGATAGAAGACGAAGAGAAGAGAGAGAAGAGAGAGAGATGGGTAGTCTTGTACCAAGCACAAATCTTTGTGCCTTGGTAGGTGCAGGTAGCACAATTCCACCTCCACTCACTTCAAATGGGGGACCACATTCATATGTTCTGAGGCAGTGGATGGATGAATATTTAACCATTGAATGAGTGGAGTTGAGTTATGCTTACCTTCACTCACCAAAATAACTCTTTTGTACTTGGTAACCAAACATACCATTTTTCTCATATACTATATAGTATATATAAAATAATATACGTATATAGTATATTATATATATACCTATTACTACGACATATGTGTGTCATATATGATGTAATTATGTATGTATTGGTACATATGTACTGATATATGTACACTATTATAGACATATATATATATATTAAATATAGGTGTTGATTGACATAGATGTACATATATGTGTGTTAATGTGTAATATATATAATACTATATAATATATAATACTTCATAAATCATATAGTTTAATATGATAGCTACTATATATATATTAGCTTAAACTATATATATTTTACACGTAATATATATATATATATACTATATATAGTATAATATATATACTATAATAATATAATGATATATACATACATACATTATGTACACATGTATAATATACTATATAATATAATATATATAAATATAGTATAAATAATACAATATATAAAAATAATATATAACATATATAAAAATAACATAAAATATAATATAATATATAAAAATATATATATAAGAATACATATATATACATATATCTATATTATATACATGTAACCCACATGTACATATATGCATGTATATATACTACATATACACATTACATATATTGAACTTATATATATATCTATATATATATATATATATTTATATATATATATTATAAATATATAATAATATTATAATAAGTATAACATACTACATACATATATGTATATATATTATATATACGGTACGTACCATACAGTACAAATCATATGTCATCATGTACATAAATGTGTGTATACCCACATATTGTACATGTGTAATATATGTAATCGTATGTAATGGTACTACGTGTATATATGATATAATATATATATATAGTAATTACTTAATATATATGTACATATAAAAAACATATTTCTAATACACACATATATGTACCACACACACACTACATATTTATTGTGTGTGTGTACATATATGTGTGTGATATATGTACATAATATTTGTATATATCGTACATAGTATATATATAGCATCATATGTAATATACTATAATACCATAATATGTTATTATAACATAATATGTATTATATATACATACATATTGTATATAATATATACTATATACATATTATAATATATAGTATAGATATATAATACTAACGTACGTACATACATACATACATATATGTTACACATGTATCGATATATCGTGTGTGGTATACACAACACACCATGTACATATATATTATTACTTATGATATCATGTTATATATATTATATACAGATGTTATATATTATATATATATAAATATAGCTACCTAAATATCATATATATTAAATTATGAGCAAAACTTCTGTCAACTTAACGATGGATGTCCAACTGAGTTCTCTATCCATTGATGATTACTGTGATTGAGCTACATTGTGGATGATCCGCTCCGTTAAACTTGATCTACATATCTAAAACCCCAACACACCAAATTTGGTGTGAACTCGTTGTGGTTTGACCCTTCATCCACTCGTATCAATTTTAAGCGGTTTCGATGAATAGAATTTTTACATGACTCGACGGAGGGTCAACCCACAACGAGTTCACACCAAAATTTGGTGTGTTGGGGTTTTAGAATATGTAGATCAAGTTTAACGGAGCGGATCATCCACAATGTACTCAATCAAGTAATCATCAATGGATAAGAAACTCAGTGGACGTCCCTTAAGTTGACAGAAGTTTGCTCATATAGATCATCATCCACTCCTCAACACATATGAATGTGGTCCCCCATTTGAATGAGTGGAGGGGATTGTGCTACCTCACTACCAAGCACAAAATTTGTGCTTGGTACCAAGCATACCCATCTCTCTCTCTCTCTCTCTCTCTCTCTCTCTCTATCTATCTATCTGTCTATCTATCTATATCATATATATATATATATATATGTATATATATACATATATATATATATGTATATATATACATATATATATATATGTACATGTATATATATGTATATGTACATGTATATGTATGTATATGTACATGTATATGTATATACGTATACATGTATATGATATATATATATATATGTATATATATACATATATATATATATGTATATATATACATATATATATATATGTACATGTATATATATGTATATGTACATGTATATGTATGTATATGTACATGTATATGTATATACGTATACATGTATATGTATATACGTATACATGTATATGTATATACGTATACACATACATATATGTATATATATGTATACATATACATATACATACATATATATATGTGTGTACATATGTATGTATGTATTTATCTATGTATGTATATATATATATATATGTATGTATGTATGTATGTGTGTGTGTTTGTGTGTGCGCGCGCGTGTATATATATGTGTGTGTAAGTAAGTATCTGTGTATACATACATACATACATACACACACAGACACACATACATACATACACTTAATGCAAAATATGTCATCAAAATCAATGTTTCAGAATTCTCATGAAGTTGGTTAATTTTCACCTCTTGATATATAATTCAAAACATGTCCAAAAATTTTGAAATTTGTTTCTAACTAGTTCATGTGTAGTAGATCAAATCTACCGGTTTAGATTTTTATTTTTGGGTTCTGATTTTCAAAATTGAATTGCTAGTATCT